AGCTACCCGGGATGGACTCGGGGTGGAGGCTGGGCTCTCTCTGGTGCTACAGGGGTCCGGGAAGCCACAGGCGGCAGCCCCGGGCGGCAGGTAGGGCCGGGGGGTGGGGTAGGTCCGCGGAGCCCCTCTTCTGAAATGGGGCAGGGGGTGGAGAAGGGGGGCGAGGAGGTAACAGTTCCCAGGGGTCTGTGCCCACGACTGGCTCCTTCCCTTTTGCACACAGGAGGCTCCACGGGCTGTTGTGACGTGGCTGGCGAAGGGTCAGGGGAGGGTCCTGCCCTGGTCCAGCTCACGCCAGCGCCCATTCCCTCTGGAACATCTGCTGTCCACTCCTGCCACGGGAGCCCAGAGTCCAGTCTGCGGAACGGGGAGGGCAGGAGCAGTCAGAGGCGTACAGACGGACGGGTCGTGGCGGTCAGGGAAGGTGGGAGCGCCCCGCCGGAGGGCCTGAGGAGGCGTGGGGAGACGAGGCCCAGGGGTGCCCCAGGCCGCATCCATCACAGGGGTGGCCAGTGAGCCGGGCAGAAGGACCGCGGGCAGCCAGCATGGGGAGCCCTGCGGGGGCCCCGCAGCGACGTCCTGATGGTCTCGAGCACGGCACGCAGGACAGGCGAGCGGGGACAGCTGCCCCCTCCCTGGCTCCTCCCCTCTTCCCACCAGGGCCTGGGGCCCCACATGCTCTGGGAGGTGAGGTGCAGCCCAGGGGCAGCTCCTAATTCAGGCGCCAAGCTGGTGTGCAGGAGGTGGCGACTGATCCTCCCGATCTTCCAGAGGGAAGGGAAGGGAGAGCCAGCTGTCCTGCTGCAGGGCAGCCTGGACACGAGCGGGCGGGGAGGCCCCCTCTGCCCGCTGCCCTGGGCGTGGTCACCTTAGCTGAGGGCCAGTGCAATCACCATTCAGCTGGCCAGCACCTGCAGGGCCCCAGGCATGGCTCTGGCGCACCACTGCCCTCCCCTCGGGCAGTGACGCCCAGAGCACAGGAGGGCACGCCAGACACGGGGAAGAGCTTCCACGCGTGGAGAACCCACACATGACCCCAGCAGCATTCCAGGGGGCATGGGCCAGGTGCCCAGAGGCTCTGGGGGGCAGGCCAGGGGCTGCCTGCTGAGGCGGGAGAGAAGCAGAGGGTCAAGGGGCCAGCAGGGGGTGGACCTCACAGGCCCCGCAGCCCCTCAAGGAGGATGACGTGCTCGGGCTCGCACACTGCTGTTTCTTTCTTTCTTTCTTTTGATGATACTTTACTTTAGAACTGTTTTTGACAGCAGCTAAGTTGCAAAGATAGTTCCTGTGTACGCAGGCCA